TCAACAACTCCTTCCTCCTCCACTTTATCCCACCAAAAAACAAAACAAAACAAAAAAAAGATAAGAAAAAACACAGTGGAACACCAACCAACGCTTAGACCCTTCTCTCCCCCAAATCGGCAGCAAAGCAACATGGTCCTAGTGATTCCATCAGACACAATCATATCCCGGCCTTCGTGGGGGGCGACGTTCAAGATCAGCTCCCCCATGGCGGAACCCACTACCCCGGGAGGCTCCTCGGTCGCGGTCTGGGGCGTCGTCATACCCATCATGTTCTTCTTCGATTCTCTCTTCAGCGCCAGGGACGAAGACGCAGACGGCGGCCTCAGGTGACAGGGGCTTCCTCTTATTGTTGTTGTTGTTATTATTAATGTTGTTCGTTCTTTTTATTGTCATCATCACTGTTATTATTATTCTGTTTTATTATTGCTGTTGCATTTCTTGATTCTTATCATTATATTATTATTATTATTATTATTATCATTATTATTATCATTATTATTATCATTATTATTATTATTATCATCATCATCATCGTCATCATCATCATTATCATCATCATCATCATCATCATCATCATCATCATAATTGCTGTTGAAAGTTATTATTATCAATAGTTTTTGTTATTTTCTGTTATCACTAGAGCTACTACTACTATTTGTTATCACTAAAGCCATTATTATTACTACTACTATAATCATTATCGCAATAATTGTAATAATTACTAATACTCTACTACTGTTGCATATAATTACTATCGCTATTATCATTGCTATAAATTCCTTTCTTGTTTTCTTTCATCGTCTTGTTATTGTCATTTTATTTTGAAGTGCAGGATTGCCATTGTGATATATATGTAAAATAATTGTCAGTAAAAACAATTCAGAAAAATAGGCACATGGAAAATGGTGTTTAGTATAATGACTGTTTTGATTTTTACAACAAAGTGAGGCCAACAATAACATTATTTATCTTGGAACAATATATTGATGATATTGATAATGATAATAATGATGGTGATAATAATAAGTCAGAGTAAGAATACCTTACCCTGAAAACTATAAATAATAATATAATAATGATATCAATTAATGATATTAATGTTGATGATACTGATGATAACAAAAGAAAAAAAAACAGTGCTATAAAACGAAGCTCGAAGCAAATAGGCCCTAAGCATAACAACGCCCTTTTCCCCAACCACAGCTTAAACAGTCTTCTGCGAGAATGGTCGCTGAATGATGAGGACCACGACGACTATTTCGACGACGACGACGACGACGAGGAAGACGACCCATGGGCGTGGGAGGACCAGCAGGCGTGGGCGCTGTCGTGGGTGGAGGAGGTACTCTCGTGGCAAGGGTTGGACGGGCGTGCGTGTGTCCAGAGGTTCATTTGCGAGCTGCAGCACAGGACGATTCACAAGTACAGCGTCTTGGGCGAGACCATGTCCCTGCTCTTCCGGTGTGTTCCGTTCATAGTTCAATTTTCCTTTTTCTTTTCTGTTTCTGGTAATTTGTGTTCCTATTTTCTTATTGGTTTTCCCCTCTATTCGTTTTTGTTCTGATTCTTAATCTGTCTTTTTTTTATTTATTTTCTCTCTCTCTACCCCCCCCCCTCTCTCTCTCTCTCTCTCTCTCTCTCTTTCTTTCTCTCTCTCTCTTTCTCTCTCTCCCTCCCTCCCTCCCTCCCTCCTCCCCATCCTCCCTCCCTCTCCCTCTCCCTCCTTTCCTCCCTCTCTCTCTTCCTCTCCCCCTCTCCCTCTCTCCTTCTCCGTCCCTCCCTCTCCCTGCGTGTGTGTGTGTGTGTGTGTGAAAGAGAGTGAATGAGCGAATGAGTGCGCGCGTGCGTGTCTGTGTGTGTGTGTGTGTGAGTGGGTGAGTATATATCTATTTACGTATTTCTTTCCCGCTCACCTCAGTTCTGTTTCTCTCATTTCCCTAACCACACCACTGCTCCTCGCTGGGAGTGTGTAAGCATTGTAAATTTCTGTGCGACACACATGTACACACACACACACACACACACACACACACACACACACACACACACACACACACACACACACACACACACACACACACACACACACACACACACACACACACACACACAATTAAAATTAAAGGCATATTTAAGTCTTAAGACACGGAAGGCTTAGTCATGACTCTTTTTATTTCCAGAATGGCCAACGGCTCGTCAACCAACAGCGTAATTTCACCTTATTTAGAAGCCGAAGAAAAAGGTCAGAGCGTCAGTAACTGGACAGAATGCGGTCTCCTGTTTCCCGCCTGCCCCACGTCGCCATTCAAACTTTTTGGCGGGAAATTGAACATGACCGTGACTGAATAGTGACGGACGTATTTTGAATTAGTTTATTTATATTTATTGATGTTATGCTCAGGATGAATTTGTTTATTTATATTCTAATTTAATAAATCACGTTGGATATTGCATACTCTTTTTTGTGTTATGTTTGTGCCTTCGTATGTATGACCTC